CATATTCTGCATTCCTTTAAACTTGATATGTATATGTTCTCTTCTTTCTCCAGATGTTTAAGTAGCCCTACTCAAATCACAGGAATAAAACAGCTATAAATTATAGTATACAATCAATGATCAAACACAAGATGCAGCAAGTCATACATTACAACACCAGAAATTAAAAGTAGTAAAATGTAGAAAGTTAAATTATATCTGAGCAAAAAAATGATGTTTTGGCAAACCATGAAAAGGTCTAAGTGCATCCCATTGCTCAAACACATCATTATAAAAGTTTCAGTTATTGGAAATGCGTATTTTAAGTTGTTCTATGCCATAAAACCGAATACATTCTTTGCAAAAGAAAAGCAGGAAAAAAAAGCAGATAATATAAAAAGCAATAGCTGCACTTAGGGCTGGTACATATACGCTTATATAAAGAATTTCCAGTTGGGTCAATAAGGTTTCCCAAAGCATCCCCTCAAACAAATCTATAGGTAATGCCGAAATCTCCTTAAAAAAAAAAGCAGTTGGAAAACATTTCTGTACTTTACGTTCTTAAGCCTTTTTCACATTTATAGATATTTATCTTAAAGCCCAATTGAACTTTCAGTTTAAATCTGCTAAATACTAGACATGTGCACTGCCAAAAAATTTGTTTAGTTTCATTTCGTTTTAAATTCGGATTTGTGTTATTTTGTTTTTCGGGATTCGGGTGTGAAAGTCAATTCGGAATTCGGATTCGGACGAAATTCGTTTGCGGTAGTTCGTTCGAATGTTCGTTTCGTTTTCGGTTCTTATTCGTTTTGTTCGTTTGCAGCAAAGTGACATTTGAGGGGGGAAACATGTTTTTCTCCTTCTCTGTCACTTTGCTCCAACGAACGAAACGAATAAGAACCGAAGAAACGAAAACGAAACGAACTACCGCTAACGAATTTCGGAAACGGAAATTCGGATTCGTTTGCATTCGTTATATCTGTAATTCCGAATTTGGATCCATCCGAATGTCCGAAAATTCGTCCGAATTTCGATTCGGAACGAAACGAATCGCACATGTCTACTAAATACATTCCAGGCGCATCAAAGCAAAAATTGTTCAAAGTCTTAAAATGTGTTTTCTTTCAATATCAGCCAAAATCTGCCCCCTGCCAGCATGCTGCAGAGAAGGTCATTTGCACTTTTTGGGGTTGCAGTGGTCTCTCTGCAGAGGTCCAATGTGCTGAGTAAGACCTCTACAATCAGTGTGAAGCATGAGTTTGCTCATTGAAAAGCTATAGATCTGACCCAGCAGGGGACATGTCTGACATCTGCAATGAGACTCCTGCTTCCACACTGAGTCCAAGGGTCTAACTCAGCAGCTGCTAACATTGGTCAGACATTTCTACCCAGACTGTGATTGCTTTAAGTAGATAACAAACTAAAGAAATGTTTACATATTGAAAACAAACGTTTATTTATACATTTTGTATAAGTACATTATGTTTGTCAATGTTTATCATTTATATAATATATTGGCTTATCCTGTTAACTCAGCAGTTGAAACTACAGATAGCCACTAGAGGGAGGATCAACAGATTTGTTCTGGAATACTATTATTTACAATATCATTTATTTTTAGGTAAATTGAACTCAAGTGCAAAATGTGCACACTGAAAAAGAAGCTTTATTGGTTTCCTATTCCTCCCTTTTCGTTTTTGATAATCTCCTATTGCTGTTAGCGAGACATACAAAGCAGAGAAAAGAGCTCTGTTATGATGCTGTAGGAAAATCACTTTATCATTCCGGATATGTATTGGAAGCAGAATGGTAGAATTGTAAAAGATTTTCAAAAGTGATTCACTAGAACGAGATTTACACAATAGTTATTTACCATTTCAGCACCCTGGGAGGCATCTAGCATCATGTCTCTTGCAGAGTTTATGGAACAGCATTATTTATGGAAAAGGTACAAGAACACGCACTGATTCCAGCCTCAAGAGTCACCTGAACAGAATTAATCTGAAATAACAATCTCACATCCATAAATACAAAGATGGAAATATTGATCAACTGTGCCACTGTACATTAACAGCAATTCATATTGCTCTAGGCACTGCTCACTATCCTGCTAGCTGGTTCCTTGTGAGTTGTATAGAACTCTATCAGATCTTCTGTGAAGAGGACAATGGAATAAAGATGTGAAGTTTTTATTGATTTTATATTTAGCATGTGGTATCAGAAACTACTGCATGTGCATTGAAATGTTTTACAGGTGACAACTGTCTCAAAGACCTTTTGTTTGCCTATAATTGCCTAGAAGAATGTTCATCTGGGGA